ATGAGCCCGGAATCCTGTTACAGACGGGTTGGAGCGTGGGACGCAGGTTCATTAGCGTCCCGTTAATGCGCTAATTGCGGTAACGCGTGTGCGGTCGGTATCGCTGACGGGAGCCGTGCTGGTTCTGATGCCGCTGTCCCTGCCCAGCCCGCTTGTGGAAGACGCTGACGTTCGTGGTGGCGCTGCCCGGCGTGGCCGTGTGCATGCTCAACTGCTACCTGAAGGCGCATCACGAGCACGAGCGGCCCGAGTTCGTGCCCTACTCGCACCTCCGCATCCGGACCAAGGTACCTCTGCCCGGGTCACGGCCCTCCTGTCCTGCACCAGGGGCTGCAGAGCCTCCTCTGACACTGCCACAGCGCCTTTTCCTCTCTCGACTGCCACATGAGATGGCTGTGATACCAACTCACGGCTGTTTCTGAGGCGGTGAGGGTTTGTCGCAGCTCTGGTGAAGTACCCATGACATTCACAGGCCCTCCCACCCCAGAGTGATCCTCCCAATGTCGTGCTGAAAAATGTTTCTGTCCTAGAGCTGCTGTACTTAAAGTCATACAGATCCCAAAATACTCAAAATTGGGTCCTCATAATACAGCACAGTGTTTGTTTAAGAGCAACGATTGTGCTGTTTAGAGACTGTGGCTCCCAGCTAAGAGAGACAAGAGTTTTTCAGCTCTTGCTTCCCCTACATCCTGGGAGTCAGCTTGCCTAATTCAGCCTGTCAAGCTGATCATAGAATCATTTAGGTTGGTAAAGTCTTCTGAGATGGAGTCCACCCGTTGACTGATTTCCACCCTGTCAACCAGATCATGGCACTAAGTGCTACATCCAGTCTGTACCTAAACACCTCCAGGGATGGTGACCCCTGCAGCCTGGGCAGTTTGTCCCAATGTTTAGCAACCTTTTTGTGAAGAAATTCCTCCTGATGTCCATCCTGAACATTCCATGGCACAGCTTGAGGCTGTTTCCTCCTATCCTGTCACTAATTGCCTGGGAGAATTGATGTTTGAGTGTCTGCTGTTCTTGGTTTCAGGTGCTTGTAGGGATTGTTCAGCAGCTGCCACTGGCTGATTTTCTTTCTTCTTTCAACAGCGTTTCCCCTGGGGTGATGGGAATAAAACTCTGTTTCACAACCCCCACGTTAACCCTCTCCCAACTGGTTATGAAGATTAAAACCAAGATCCTGCCAACAGCCAGAACTTTGGCTCTCCCCGTCCTGAACCAGAATGTTGAGTGGGAGCCATCATTTCTGGGGTCATAGTTTCAGAAACTCTGTGTTTCTTCTGTGATGAAGCTGAGTGGTGTTGTGGCCCAGTGTGTACCTGTGATGGGGCCCTTTAAATAAACAATTCTGAACACGAATTTGGGATTTGACTTGTTTACCTGAATCCTTTGGAGTTTTTTAGTTCAGTGTTGGCAAAAAGCATGAAGGTTTCTCCCAGGACAGAGTGCAGGAGCAAAGGGGTTTGACTGCCTGCATGGTAACACGTGTTCCTGTGTCTGATAACACACCAGGAATGCATTTGGCATAGGACATCAATCAATTTCATATTCTTCATGTCTGGTTTAGCTGATGACTCTAAACTCACAGCCAGAACAACAGATATGTACATTAAAATTCAATATATACTGAAGCACATTCTCCATTATTAGCTCTTGCAATATTTATTAACTCCCTTCTGGCACAGGGAGGCAGCAAAGATGTTGAGCTAAGCTCTGCCTTCATTCACACTGTTCACTTCAGCTCTCACATTTTCAGGTACATCAGCACATATCGCTCACCACTCTGCTTTCCATAAAGCTGCAGTCTGTACCAAGTCTCTCACACAGGTTTTGCAGAAGAGAACACAATTTTGGTTCTACTTGTCTGTATAGCATTTACTGTGCCATGCAGAAGCTGCCTGAAGCAGAAGGGATGAGTGAGCCAACAGCCTGAGCCTGTGCCAGTACAACTTTCATTTTCAAGTTTTTGCTCACTACAAGTCAACCATTTTCCAGTTCTTACTATAACTTCTATATTTTTTGCACAATGTGAATCTGAGCTTTATCTCAGCTGTCATAATGTGGTTCTTCCCAAAAGGCAGAACACAGCAGCTGCTTTGGCATCTTGCCGTGGAAAGGAGTGATGGATGGCAGAGAGAATCTCACAGTGACACTGGAGGATGCCCTTCCCCATGGTTCCATGGGATTTTTTTGTCAGTTTACCAGTAAAAGATTGCTGAGAGAGGTTTTCCTGTGTTGAAAGTACAAGGCACTGAAGGGCACAGTTGTTCTAAAGCTGACAAAGTCACATTACATTTACCCCTACATGAAGATCACAGAAAAGCAAACTGGTTTTGTGTGTTATTCCTTAAAAAAGAAAAGCTACAGAGTCAACCATCTCCCAAATGCTATTTATAGATCCTTCCCTCAGACCTGCTGCACTCTGCCAACAGCCTGGTTTTTCAGTGCTGTATTTAAGCCCTGTGCTGACACTGCAGGAGCTCTCTGCACCTGAGAACAGGAGTGTGGCTCACCTGGCTCTGGCACAGGAACAGCCTCAGGCTGCAGCAGCTCCTGATCCTCTGCACAAGAACTCAGGGTCTGGGCTCTGTGAGGGGCTGTGCTGCAGACAGGCCAGCTGTAATATTTGAGAACTACACCTTTTTAGTTTTTTTTTTTTTTTTAAGTATAACCTTTAAGTAATTAGTAGTAATTAAAAGCAGAGAGTGAAGCTTTCTTTTTTCCTCACTGTAATTCCAGAATTATGAAGTTATCTTTTGTCCCCAGTCCATAATATCTTTTTCCCCTGTGTTGGTGTAAGGAGAAGGGCAAGCTTTGACCCATCCCTGTGTGAGGATCAAACCACAGAGATGTGTAATGCTAAAGGAGAGAGAATTCCAAGTTCATGGATGTGTTAGTACCTCAGGAAAGGCTGAAGTAGCCTCTGCATTAAAAGTCTTCTCCTCAGGGGCTGAGCAGGCACTTCCATCCCTCCCAGGGGGCACAATCAGACTCTACTGCACAGTTACCTACTTGAACAAAATAAACCTGGTTGTATTTATTTTAGCCAAGCTGTTGCAGGTCCACTAGTGCTCTTAAACCATCTCTGCAGCTGACACAAAACAGTGCTTAAGCCCTTCAGGATTACATGAAACTAATTTCATCACCAAAATTCAGAAGCATAGAGATGATAGCAAGTACATCAACCCCCTTCATATTCTTTTTAAACACTTTCAAGTGTTATATAAATAAGCAAGAGAAATCAGTCACAGAGAACCCATCCCAGCCCACTCCAACGAGCATTCCCCACTGCAGAGTACATTCAGTAGGAAGCTCACATGGATTTTTAAGCTGTCAGATGCTGAACCACCACCAAGTTTCACTGGCAAGGAGGCAGCAGGTACCACATTATCCAGTTTTTTTTTCTTTTAGCTGTTTGTTTTCACAAGCAGAGAACATTTGTCACTTCCTAAAAAGCAGTTAACAAAGGTCTTCTCCTGGTGGCACCTGTGGCACACCTGGTGCTGGTGCTCAGTCCAAAGGCTGCTGTTGGTGACTCCACCCATACTGCCAACATCAGGAGGAGTTCTCAGTTTTTCCTTTACTTGGGCCCATGAATTCCAGGCCCTCAATGGGTATGTCCTTTTCTTTGATTGCTTTCTGAAAAGAAGAACACCAAATAATTAAATTCAGAACTTCTTTATAGGTCTTCATGATGTTTTCTTTGGTACAAAGCACAGAACGACAAAATCAGTGAGGCTGTAAAACACCTGTGAGATCATCCAGTCCAACCTGTGGCCCATGAGTAATAGCACCATGTCAACCAGACCAAGGCCATGCCCAGGCTCTCCTTAAATACTGCCTACACCTCCCTGGGCAGCCCATTTCGACATCTCATCACCCTTTCTGTGAAAAAACTCTTCCTAAAGCCCAACCTAAACCTCCCTGGTGCAGCTTAAACCTGTATCCTCTTGTCCTATGGCTTGTTGCCTGAATAGAAATCATCTTAAAAAAAACAAGTGATCTAGAAAAAGTAGTCTTAAGGGCTAGTTTGAATAAAGTTTCAATGTTAAAGTTGCTGGTTTGAATAAAGTTTCAATGCTGCTGAAGGATGTACTGAGAACTCACTGAGCTACAGTCGCTCTAACAGAAACGCGCTGCAGCCTCTACCGATCCGCCTTAAGAAATGTACAATAAAAATAAGAGAAGCCTGTAAAATATTCATGCCATGACCGACAGACACGGGGCGGGACAAGCCCAGCGCTGCGTGTGGGGCTCTGTGTGAGGCCTGAGGCTGCCGGGGGCACCGGGCCGGCGCTGGGAGGGATGAGCGCGGGGAAGGACGCTCGGGGCAGGGAGCGAGGGCCGGCCCGGACGCACCTGCACGCAGAGCTGGTAGCGCTTGAAGAGCTGCCCGCAGGGGTCGCCGGCGCTGTCGCCCTTGAGGAACTTCTCTGCGAACCAGCGGTTGAAGCACTGGTCGTACTCGCGCTTCAGCTCGGTGCACGCCTCGCCCACGCTGTTCATCGCGGCGACCGCGCCGGACGGGCCGGGCCGGGCCGGGCGCGCCGCCACTGACGCACATCCGGCGGGCCCGGGAGGCGGCGGCGATGCGCGCGCTGCTCCTCGGGGCCTGGCTCCGCGCCGGGCGGGGCCTCCCGCGGGCACCGGGGAGCGGCCGCCGGCACCGGGAGCACCGGGGACACAGCGGGCACAGCGAGCACAGCGAGCACCGGCCGCAGGCACCGCTCCGGGTAACACCGCAGGCACCGCTCGGGCACCGCCGCTCCGCCCCCCGCGAGGCGGGCACGGGATACCGGACCCGTTAATCGCCCCAGAGAGGGACAGCGATCAGCGCGTCCATGCATTTGCTGACCTTAAAGGCCTTTTCCAGCCGTAACGATTTTAGGATTCTTTGTAAACTCCGTTTTTGACGTGTAACAAGTGTGGAAACCCAGAACAGCGGGAATATTTCTGTCTGCTCTGGGGTGCCCTGACCCCCAGGGGAGCTCTGACTTTGACCCTCATTCATGGAGAAAGTTTCCCAGACTTCAAGATAGACTAGAACCCACAAAACTGTGAAATAAATTATAGAGAGTAGTGTAGGTGTATCACTTGGTGAGAAATTTAGGTTTTGGGGTTTTTAGTATGTTGTGGATGAAAGCAAGATGGAAGGCACAGGGTGTTATCCTGGGTTTCTTCTTCATGCTGCTTCTTCCTTCTTCATGGGTTTGGGTGGCATTTTGTAATTGGGCAGAAAAGTCTGCATTGCAGCTCTTTGGGATCAGTTATTGGGTTAAAAGGGAAAATAATCTAGGTGTCAGCTCTTAATTGGATAGTTTAGTCTTAAAAGACCTTGTAACAACAGATTGTTGGCCATTTTGTGCCTTCTAATGAAAACCTGCCGAACTCACAGTAATGGGTACCCCCACAACAAGTTTGTAATTGAAAGAATGTAGCACTATTAAACTTGCTGGTTTTTGACTGTTTTGTCCGTATTGATGCTTTTGTACAGCAGAAGGTGTCGGTGGAAGTGCTGCAGCACCTGGAGCACCTGGCCCTGGTGGATTTCCGGGATGCAGAGGGCGTGGAGCGGCTGCAGAAAGCGATCCAGTTTGCTGATCAGCTTCATGAAGTGAACACCGATGGCGTGGAACCCATGGATTCAGTGCTGGAGGACAGGTGGTGAATCACAGCAGCGTCCTTTCGTCTGTTCATGCATCAAACTGTTTGCTTCTGGGACCTTTATCCCCTGGGAATCACCGTGCATGTGGGCCCTTTGCTCAAAGCACCTTTCTGGGGTTCTGTGTGGGAGAAAGTTGTCATTGGCTGTGTAATTTTTATGTGTGAGCAAAGAAAGGTGAACTTCAGTTCTTTAATCTGCCTTAATTGTCACACTGTTCCCCCAGTGCCTGCCAGTGCCATTTTTGGGTGCTTCAGAATGTTCCAGTACTTGTGTCAGTGTTTATTTAAGAGACCAACACCAGATTTAGAGATAAGCCACCCTTCCCACCTCATATTCACACAACAGCTTGAAGACAACCAGTAACCTTTGTCCTTCAGGTGTCTGTATCTCAGAGAAGATGATGTGACAGAAGGCAACTGCACCAAAGAGCTGCTGGAAAATGCCAGAGAGAAAGTAGAGGAGTATTTTGTGGCTCCACCAGGTATTGACTTGCTTACAAAAATCTCTCAATCTCGCCTAAATTAACCTGAATAAAATAACCTGCCATAGCTGCATTTACTTTCAGAAATACTAGTCAATAATTGGGAGCACTAAAAGAAATGTCTGTATCCATCTGTGTAAAACAATGTGCAATTTATGGTCCAGAAGCAGCACAGAGGCTGACCTGACTCTGGAGTTACTGCACACCTTGAGAAATTCCTTACAGGAGGTCAGGCAGGACTTACTTCCCTGACTTTCTCAGGATACTTAGGCAGCCTGTAAACTGCATAAACACTTCCATGCCAAGGTGTCCTGCCCACAAGGTAACTTACAGCTGGTCTCACACAACTTGTTTTTTGTTTTCTCTCAGGTAACATCCCTTTACCAAAGCTGGAAGAACAAGAGACTTTTCTGCAGGGCTCTCAGTGACAGCCCAGAGCCCAAATGTTCTTTCAGTATTGTATTTGGGGAAAATTAAGTTTTGTGCAGTCACACCCTGGTATGTATTTGTCAGAAGAGCACTTGCAAGACAGAAGAAAGCAAGTGTAAAAGTTTAGTAGTGCTGCTGAAATATTCAATGTCTCTGAAGCTGGACAGCAGCATGGCAGATGACCTGGGTGCTTTCATTTGGCAAAGTGAATTTGCTGTTTGGAGGTGAGAGCAAACCCTTGTCCCACACTTAATTGTGCAATTACCTCATTATTTGTTTAAGCATCCATAATATACTCACCTAGTTGCATAAAACATGTAATTACTGTGATACTTGAATTCTTTCAAGGGTATTGAAATAAAGCCTGTGTTTAACACCACTCATCCAATCCTCTGCAAAGCTGTAACAAAGCTGTATTATTGCTTTAGTCTCAGACTTGTCAAGTTTCAGACCCTGCAAATGCTGAAGTTTACAAATATACAAGTTCAGCCTGTAAGGAATTTATGAGGTGTATAGAAATCATAACAAGGAAACACTTCAAATATCTATCAGTCAATATGATCAATACCAGAATCATAATATCAGGTAATTCCCACTTTGAGAAGTCCCCCCTTGATCTATCCATTTTGGCCTGTTTGACCATCAGAGAGAATGGGGACAGTATTATTTACACAGAAGAAGGAAGAGGAATTTGAGAGGGAACTGACTGCCTGCAGGAGCTTTTAACCCAAAATAGCATCAAGTAACTATTTAAAGGCAACAACTAAACCAGCAATTTGGACAAGATGATCCCACATTGCCAATGCAGCACAGGCTAAACTTAAAACTGCCAGTTCAGTGCTGCTCCTACACACTCCAGGGAGAGAACAGACTGCCTGATGCTTGTTCCCTGCAGCCCAAACTGCATTTAAAGTGGAAAACACACATCTCCCTAATGAAGGGGTTTGATGCAACTTCACCACAAATAAGGGAATTACAACCTGGACTCAGACACCTGCAACCACCAAAAAGAAAAGCTGACAGAGGGCAGATGAGGTGCCTGTGGGGCAGGGCAAGTCAGTGCCTCTGTGGGTCTAATACTGGGTGCTGAGCCCTGGGGGATGGTGCTGAGCCCCAAGGGATGGTGCTGAGCCCCACTGGGCAGCACTTTGAGAGAGGGAGAGATCCCCCCTCGTGTGCTGGTTCCCCTGCATTCACTGCAGCACTCAGTAAATGGATCCAGTTTCTCTGGGGACCATGGAGATAACCTCACTTAGAGCTGCTGACATTTTTCCACCACCACAAAACTGTAGATCTAAAATTAGATTGGAAGCTCTTGCATATAAATCCCAGGTTTACAAAGAAAATTTCAATGTGGAGATTTCTTCGCCTTTGTGGGAAAAAAAGAAGATGGAAGTTGTTTTATTGCTAATAATGATGATTTTATATTTTGGTGTTAACTGGGAGCCCCAGGAAAAAGCTCTGTTAGTACAGAGATAGGTTGTGCAACACAGAGTGAAAAATCACCTCATGAAAAGTGCTTACAGCCTAACCTGGAGAGCAATCTCATGAGATGCCTTATCCATTACCCAGTTTTCTTCAGCACCTCCTCTACCCCTGCTATCATCTCCTGTGTTTATTTGTTCTGCCTTTCCCTGCAGCTCTGTCCTGAGGGAAACTCTACTTTTATACTCTTAATTACCAAGTAGGGCTGTGATGTATCCCAGGCTTTAATGTTTCTCATTAACAACGTGTATCTCACCCACACTGCCATTTCCTGCACTCGTCATCACAATTGTTCCTTCAGCAAACCATTTCTTAATAAATGCAGAGAAATTTGCCTGCAGCTACCAAACACAGCCACCTCCTCAGAGATCCATGGGTGTTTCTGAAGTTTAGTGGGAGCATTTGGAAGATTGTTAAATGGTTCCATTCTGTCAGCACAAAACTGTCCAGTACTCAAAGAACAACTGCAAGTGCTGCAGACGCTGAACACAGTTCTGGAAATTAATTATTTACTGTGGCCCCAAGATCATTTAAAACTTCTTCATGTTTCTAGCACACAAGCAAAGTTGTGAACTGTATCTCTATTTGGAGTGTTAAAACCTGTGAGTCAGGAGTTATTTCTGAGATATTCTAGAGTGACAGAAGTATTACATTATGCAGTTTCAATATTTCTGGGGGCAGTGTATTTTTCTGAGTTTGCAAAAGCACAAAGTTCCTTGCAGTTGTGCTGCTTTTGCTCTGAGTGACACTGAGCAGGTAACTACACTCTAAGAATATGCAAAATATTTACATTGCAAGTGAGGTGAATGACTGCTCTTGAGGTGGGTTTTTTAAAATTTCTACAAGGAAATGGGAGTCCTACCAACAAGTATTTAACAACCTCTTTTAAATCATCCTGTGCTGTTTGCTGTAGACATGGTTCAGAGTCCTGTTATTAACAGATCAGCAGTGGAAGACTCAACAGCAATGTTCTATCTGCTGACAAGAGAGTAAGCAGAAAGTGCCCCAGGGAGAGTGAAACTAAGAAAACAGAGCACAGCACTGAGGTTCTACCAAAACAGCTTGCTTCATTTAAACCAAAGAAAAAAAAAACCAAAACAAAAAACAAAACCAACCCAACCACCAACTAAAATAACCCACAAACCAAACACAAACAAAAAAAGGCAAGAGTTGCAGAAATAGTGAGTCTGCAGAAGATGGTGTAAAAGTCTGAGAGATTTGGTTCACTAAAGGAACAAAGTTGGGAGCTGACTTATACCCAGTAAACATGGGTCAGATTTCTATCAGAGGTCACTTGAAAAGACACAACAGAAAAGAGACAAATGAACAGGACAGGTGATCAAAGGCCATTCACAAGCTGTGGAACTCCTTCCTTTGACATGGGTGGGCTTCACTCCAGTAAAGGGCATATTCCTGAAACAGCTGCCCCAGGTAATATCCCAGTATTCTTTCAGTGATATCACATGCTATTGAAAGGGATATTCCCAGCAAGAGCTTGTTCCAAAGAGAAACAAAGTCTGTTGTTGGTTCAACTCAGCATCTCTGTGATCCAGGCTGGGGCAAGTAATAAAATGGCTTTTGGGGCGCACACATCACCTATGGAAAGATGTTTTACAGAACCTGGTGGACACATTACAATGCCTCGGAGACTGGGCATACTATAAGGAACAAGTTTTTTACCCAGGATCACCTGGTGATGCCACACAGAATTAGATTAGAAATGACCTCAGAGATCATCGAGTCCAATCGGTGACCCAACACCACCGTGTCAGCCAGACCACGGCACTCAGTGTCATGTCCAGTCTTTCCTTAAACACCTGCAGGGACAGTGACACCACCAGCCCCCTTGGGCAGCCCCTTCCAATGTCAAATCACCAGTTCTGTGAAGAAATTCCTCCCAATATCCAACCTAAACCTCCCATGGAACACCAGACCAGTAGCACGGGAGTCGAGACTGGAAGTTTTCCATACACACCCCAAACCTACGGGACCATCCCAAAACACGCTCCCCATTCCCTCCCGCATCCCGCCGGTTGCCATGGGAACGGACGCGACGCGGGGCATCGCGGGCCGCAAGACAATGCCGCAGTAAAACCCGGCCGGGCGCCGCACCTCAGCCAATGGGCGTTCAGGGGCCGGCAGTGCTGACCAATGGGCGCCCGGGAGGCGGTGCCGGTGGCCAATGGGGGCGGTCGGCGCTCAGGGGGCGGGGTAGAGGCGCTGCGAGGCGCGTACGGACCAGAGCGCAGCGCCGTCCGCTCCGCAGCGCCCGCACGGTGAGGGACGGGACGGGACGCGGTGCGGTGCGGTGCGGTGCGGTGCGGTGCGGTGCGGTGCGGTGCGGTGCGGGCGGCTCCAGAGACTCCGCCATCCCGGTACCGGGGACCCCGCGTGTCCCGGAGGCGCCACCGTGCCTGGGCTCTTCCCCGGCCGCCGCCTCCGGTTTTCCCGCATCCCCGGCAGCCGCACGGGGCTCCGAGCCCTTGGCCGTGCGTGCCGGGCTTTCCTCGCCTACCCCGGGGCAGGGAAGGGTGTCGGGACGGGCGGTGGAGCGGCCGCGCTTTCTCGCGGGGCTCCCGGGGCAGCGCCGGGCTGGGGAGGGCCGGGAGGGCGGCGGTGCTTGTGCGGCTCCGGCCGAGGAGCGGGTGCCGAACGTGAGGCGGCGATTGAGCCGCCGCTGCTCGGGCCGTGCCCGGCACTCCCGGCCAGGGCGGGGGCACCGCGGCGATACCCGTGGGGCTGCTGGGCAGCAGGTGGCTCTGGCAGGTGCTCCCCCAACTTTGAATTTCCTTCTTTTTTTCCTCCAAGCAAGCAATCATGAGTGATCGAAAGGCAGTGATCAAAAATGCGGACATGTCAGAGGAGATGCAGCAAGACTCGGTGGAATGTGCAACTCAAGCCTTGGAGAAATACAACATCGAGAAGGACATCGCTGCTCACATAAAGAAGGTAGATGTTGGCTTGTGATGTGCTCATGAAAAATCAATTGGGGAGAACGCTGCTAGGCAAGTAGCTCTAGAGAAACGAGTTCCAGAGGCACCAGATAATCAAGTTAGACTTTTTCTGTTCTGTTCCCCACCCTTTATGTGCACCTTTCTAGGTCCTTCTGCTTTTCTCTTGCAATGCCTTACACCATTTCTGCCACTGTCTGTTGTCCACGTGAGGACAGAGCGGCACCTGGCTGTCCCTGTGACTGATGAGCTGGTACAAGACACGGGCTCTGTGCAGCCTATTTAAAGAGTGGTGCTTTGCCGACCATGTAATAAGTGGGTTTGGTTTTTTGCCTTTCCCACCACATGTAAGACAAGCTGTTCATGCTAATGCTGAACAGATGGTTCATAGCTTACAGTTTGTCACATTTTCTCTCTTGACTCCTACTGGGAGCCTGACTGAGCTGCAAGGAGCTGAAGGGCTTGGTTGAGCAGAACAGAAACTTCTATGTCCTCACAAAATTCTCTTCAGCTGACAGCTGTTAGGTACTGCAGTATAAATCCACTCACTGTAGACCTGTACACAGGAGTTTATTTGTAGCAGGCTCCTGACAGCAGCTGTCACATCATCATCATCTCATGACCAGGTGTCAGAGATATGGCAGAGAATTTTCCATCAAGTGTTCTTTCAGCATCCTTATTGCAAAAAGAAGCTAATGAAGTCCATTATCTTCTGAAATAGAAGCTAATATAGAAAAATACCACTTTCATTGGAGATTCAGAACAAGCAGACTAATTCTTAGAATTTATGGTCTGAGATCATGGCATGACTGTAGGGGAAAAGTTACCTCCCCAAACATATGTTTTAAGCTTATTCCTGCTCTGCCTGGAAGCACTTGTTTTTTTTTTTCAGTATGACTAAGCAGCAGATGAGTTATAAAGTGACAGATGATCCTTATGTGCTTAAGAGCATATGCTGCTCCTTAATTGCCTTCTTCCAAAAGTGATACTTGTTATCAAGTGACAACTCATTGCCAAAAAAACCTCCCCAACTGTTAGACAATATTAGTATAATTACCATGAAAATGCTGACTTTCTAATTCTCTATTCTGTAGGAATTTGACAAGAAATACAATCCCACGTGGCACTGCATCGTGGGCAGGAATTTTGGCAGCTACGTGACTCATGAGACCAAGCACTTCATCTACTTCTACCTCGGCCAAGTCGCTATTCTTCTGTTCAAGTCTGGCTAGAGCCATGGACTGTTACTGAAACTTGCACCTGTGCACAGGACTGCACACTGATTCCCACCTTCAGCCTTCCTGGGGAAACACATCTTGATCTTCAGGTCTTGTATTGTATTGTTAATGTCAGGGATTTTGCTGTAGCGGCTGGTATTTTCATTGTGGCTATATAAAAAAGCAAAAATGTCTTCCTTGTATTTATTTTCTTTCAAAAGATGGCTTCTTTGCTAATAAAATCGTTTATCCCTTTGCCCTCTTGAATTACCCTCTTTATTGCCATGTGAATGAAGGATGAACAACCCCACCTTGATTCCCACACCCCAAATCCATCCTTTCTTAGGAAACCTTACAAGACTGATTTAAGTGGAAAAAAGTTGATGCAGAGCCCTTTTATTTCATAAGCCTTCCATTTGCCTTTGAAAGACGGAGTCATGGGAAAAAATCCGTAAACTCCACATGACAAAGATAATAACAGCTTCATGAAAGTCCATAGTTACTTCATAAATCCAAGTTACTTCTCACAAGTATAATATCCTCCTTTAAAGCTTAGTAAAAAGAAAGGCATCTTATTTGGAGACTAATCAGTCTGTGTCTTTATCCACACCCACTGCCAACTTGCTTTGCTTGTCAGCATTGCTCAGTTTTGGCCACATCCTTTACATTGCATTTGAAGGGAAATGCAAGTGTAAGAAACACCACTGGAGTCACTCCACAGGTTTCTGGTGGGGAGAGGTACCTTGTGTTCTTCTGAGCCCAGCTGCTGAGCAAGGATTGGCTGCACAACTTCTAAGGACTCCTTTTGATCCCGTTAAAATTCCACAGCTTTCATATCCCTCATGAAAATGATACTTTTGCTGTTTTGGTACCCAGACTCAGAGTTTGAAACCTGAGTGAATGGCAACAATCCCAAAGTTCAAATTCTCATAATCCACTCTGAAAAAGCCTGCATCTTCTATCATTGCCTTCAGCTCCTCCTGAAAAATAAGTGCCAGAAGTATTAATAACCTGAAGGCCCATAAGCCAGCTGGCCACAAGATTATGCTGGAATTGTGGTTTGTGTGTCAGTGAATTTGGGGAAATCCTGCCTTACCTGAGGGGGGAACTGTCGGATGCTCTCCACAAGGTACTGGTAAGACCTCCAGTCACCAGCAATAACCTCACCCAGAACAGGGATGACCTGGAAACTGTAGAGATCATAGAGCCTGCACAGAGAGATGGTAAATACAGATTAACAGAAACACATTTAAACCCTCTCCAACATGAGCTGGTCTCTGTGCCACTATGCTGTGCAGTCTGTAGCTGACTTTAAAAGTGCTCTAAGATGTGGTCTCAGTGTCTCCACTCTTATTGAGTACAAACAAGAGAGCCCTGTGACCTGGCATAAAGCATCACCATGTTCCTACCTGGAAACAAGAGGGTTGCTGACATGACTGAATTCCAGGCAGAGAAATCTTCCTCCTGGTTTCAGCACACGATAGGCCTCTTGGAGTGCCTGAGACAAAGCAGATGTGATGAGTTTGCTACTGTAGAATAGCACCTGCCTATTACCATGCCATGTGATGTTATCATGCAACTCTGATGAACTGAGGGGAATGAAGAGCATCCTGCCTGGCAGTCTGCAATATTTACACATCCCAAGACAAATATAAAAAAAGCCCCAATATGCCACAACCAAAAGCACAAATACTCTTGCTGTTACATAAATAGATTTTTACAAGGCTTTGTGTCAAAACTGTGATGTCGGGTTTGCAATTTTCTTTCCCTACTTGCAGTTGATGAAAGTTTGTTGGCAGAGCTCTCATAATTACAGACCAAACACAAAAGGGAGAAGGTGACTCAGCTACAAGAAACTGAAAATCAAAAATGGGCATGATATTTTTTTTCAATCAAAAGATTTTACTGTGAGGCACGCCCAAAGGTTCAAAGCAGGAACGATACTGGGTTTCGGATGAGCAATGTGTAAGAACAGGAAGGAAGGAGAAAGAAGAAAATCTTTGGCTACTTTGAAAATTCCATCCTGCATCACAATGGAATACCTAACAAGAATCTAGACAAAATCCTGTTTAAAACTGTTTGTTCTTTCATACAGGAGCAGAGTTGTATTCCAGAACCTCTGAAGGTTGTACATTTGCTTGACTTCAACTGTCCAGTTCCTATGGGATAAAGTATCCACACTACACAGGAGCTCTGCACAAGAGTTGGCAGCTTGGCTGTGTTTTGTATCAGGTCTCCAGGGAGCTCTGCTACCAGGCTGCTCTATGCATGAAGGCAAAGAGCCTGGGCTTTGGAAGGGTGCAGACAAAGCACCAGGAAAAGCCCCATGCACATTAAGTTCAAAGGAATATGGTTCAAGGTGGTTTGGATCCAAATGCTTCACCTTCCACAGGAGCTCTGCCAAGGGTGTAACACTCCTCCAAAGCAGACAACGAGTGCCTCCAGACAGGTGTCACCCCCACAACAGCCAGTCCTTCTCAAAGGACAGAGATAGTTCAGAACAAAGAGTACTATTTATCCTAATTAAAATCAGACTTGTTCTTTCTAGGGAGCTCTGCCACCAGCCAGTGTAGACACTCAGCAGCAGGGGGCTGAGCAGGCTGGTTCAGCAGCAGTGGGGGCAGCAGCCTCCTCCCCACTCTGCTCTGGCAGCTCTGTTGGCTCAGGCAGGGAGACAGAAGGGGACAGGAAGCACTGGAGCCACTGCTGGTGGGATACAGACCAGGTGCTGCAGGAAGGTTTGAGATGTGCAGCCTGACTGCCCTGTGCATGTGCAGATCCACCCATGCCATAGGTCAGGAGAAGGTGGGGAGTGACTGTAACATGCAGCCCTTTGCCTTAGGAACCTGAGACTGGGTGGCTTGCCAGGCTGGAAAGATTGGGTGCAACTGGTAAAAATCTATCTTTTTATGACAAAGGTGGGGCACTTAATTGCATTTTCTATTCACACAAGTTACATGCCACTTATTTTAAATGTTTCAGGAGTAGATTAGGATCTTCCTTTATCCAAAGGAGTTCCTACTTTGCTTCCTTTGTAGAATAAAAAATCATAACGACCTCATGTCAGGATACACTACAGTAACTTACCAGATCAATACGAGTTACATTTCGGATTCCAAAGGCAATTGTGTAAACATCAAACTTATCATCATCAAAGGGCAACTCTTCAGCATTCCCAAGTACCCAGGACAAGCCTGTAGTGAAAGACAAGTCATAGAACTGAGCTCAGACTGCTCCAGAAAGGCTAGAACTTACCCATTCTAAAAGGAATTGATTACATTAAAGTGATACTGAAAACAAATGTTTCCATTTTGCAGTTTTGTTACAGGAAAGACACCTTGACCTCTACTAGCCAATCTTTCAAGACAGAGTAGTTGATTTTGCAGATCAGCCAAAACACCATTCTGCACATACACACAGTGAGTATGTGCCACAAGGATTTTACCCAAAACTTGCATCAGAGTGGAAAGCACTGTTGGCTGCCATTTGTTTGTGGCAAAGTTGTAAAAAGAGAATCCCTGCTCAAAGTGTAGCTATGGACAATTACTAACATCTTGCCATGCAACAGTGGCCAGAACACTTAACACATTTTGCTAGAAAGCTGCCACAGGTTGAGGAACATGAAAAGCCACACTCCTTCCATCAGGACTATCGGTATGTGATGCAGTTGCAGATGTGTTGCTTCCTGGTCCCCAAAGGATCAAGATCATGTTTATCTGTGGAGCATGGATGTCCAGGTTATTGGCAAGCCGATAAAATGCACAATCAGTGACTGTGCAGGTCATGCTCCTTTTCCCCATGCACAGCTCCCACTCCTCCTGAATGTACACAGGGAAACAGCAAAAAAACCTCTGTCCCTTACAACTTCTTGCTATCAGGAAGGTTAGTGCCACAATACAATGCATTATTTACCTTCAGAGTAGCCAAGATGCTGTGCTTTCTGCTTCCCAACTTTTAACATTTCTCTGTTGATGTCACAGACCACCACTTGGGAATCCCCTAGCGAGTTGTTAAATTTGTCATTCTGGTAACTCTCAAAAATTTCCTGCCATGACAAATTCTGATGGTGCCTGAGCTTCGTCTGGAGCTGGCGTTGTCGTACAGAGCGAACATAATTAATGAACCGAAAGGCAATGTCACCTGCAGTTGTTTCAAAGGAAAGATACACATTTTGGAATGGTTTCTGACTCCAGGAAGTTGAAACATAAGGCTTTGAATATCTAACTGACTTATTATTTCTTTTTAGTAATATATATTTATAAAAACACCCCCTCAGACACACTGTAATAGACACAGTAAGAGTGTGTGTGTGTCTACATGGGTAAAGACAAAAAGGGAACTTATTAAAATCAAGGAGTCCATCACATTCTACAAATTTATAGTTTCCCATAACATATCATGGCAGGACTATAACACTTTCAGACCCTTAAAGCAAGATATTACAAAACACAAAGATATCAGTTCTCAACCTTTCTCTGGGAAAATCAAGTAGATGCTTCACTAGTTTTAAAGACAGGGAGCTAAGGATGAGGAAAAAAACCCAGCAGGAAACATAATTCTGAGCAGACTCAAACAGCTGAAAAAGAGTGTGGCATTGTTATGTGGAACTCACCAAAATTATTTACCTGTTCCCCCAGCAACATCGAGGAGAAGTGTTCCTGGGCAAGGGTTCATTTTATGCATGAGGATATCCTTCCACACCCGATGAATTCCCAGAGTCATTGAATCATTCATTACATCGTATTTCTTGGCCACATTTTCAAAGACCTGATAAACTGCAAAGAAAGGACATGGAAATGAGATGCAATTGAAATTTAAAAATGCTTATGTCTAAGTAAAACTTATCTTTTATTGCACTGTGGAGGTCTCTCCACTATGTGGAGCTGAAAAATACCACAAGAAAACTCATTAAAAAAAAAAAAAAAGATTGAATGGACTGAGCCTGTTGCCTGACAAAGGTGTCTGGAGAAGCACAGCCTTCCAGAGCTGAGGGAAGTAGCAGCGATATTATTCACCGAGACTCCCGGTAACACCTCAAACAGGGGCCCAGCCCCACACACGTTTCCAGCATTGTGGATGGAGAACGATCACCGGCTGCCCGGAGCCCAGCTCGGC